ACCTTTTTGACGCGAGTCACATTCCAATTTCTTGGTAATTTAACTCCATCTTGGTTTTCCAATTTATATGAACCTTTCCAATCATGTTCCAATTGATTGGTCTCAGCTTCCCAGCATTAACATCCGACTACTTCAAGTTACTTTTCTCAAAACCAAATCTCCTACTTTAAAATATTGAAGATTTGCTCTACGGTTGTAATATCTTTCCGTTCTTTACTATTGTGCCACCACCTCACATACGCTAAATTTCGGTGTTCTTCGAGCATATCCAACTTAATCAATATTTCTTCATTATTCTCATTCTCATTTTCTCGGGAATACCTTATGGTCCGTTCCCCAATCTCCATCGTTATGAAAGCTTCCGCACCATACACAAATGAAAATGGTGTTCCCCCGTGCTTGATTTCATTGTCATTCGGTATGCCCATAGTACTCCCGGTAACTCTTCCAGCCAATTACCTTTAACATCTTCTAACTTCTTTTTGATATTTTGAATCATTACCTTGTTAGTTGACTCTGCTTGTTCGTTAACACTTGGATGGTATGGAGAAGATGTAATCCGTTTAATCTTTAATCCTTCCAAAACTTTGTGACTTTGGAACTTATAAGATGCGGCCCATTGTCACATGCAATTTCTTTTGGTACTCTAAACCGACAGATGATGTGATCCCATATGAAATCAATTACTTCTCACTCTCTGATCTTTTTGTAAGAACCTACTTCAGCCCATTTAGTAAAATAGTTAGTTAGAACCAAAAGAAATTTTACCTGCCCGACCCCTTATGGCATGGGACCAACTATGTTCATCCCCCATTTCATGAATGGCCATAGTGACACCACAAAATACAAAAAATCTATCGGTTTATGCACTAACTGTGTATGACACTGACACTTATTACATTTTTTTACAAATGCCTTCGATCCTTATTCCATTTGGGACCAATAACAGCCAACCCTTATTAATTTGAGAACCAAAGAATCTAAACCTAATGATTTCCACATACTCCTTTGTTATCTTTTCTCATCACATAATCAGTATTCGATGTCCCTAAATACTGAGACAATAGTCCATGAAAAGACCTCCTGTATAATTGACCATCAAAGAGGCAATACCGAGCAACTTTGGTCCGAAGCATCCGAGATGCTTTTGGATATTCAGGCAAATTTCCCATGTCTTAAATATTCTATAAACTAATTTATCTAATCCCAAATTTGGTTGATTGAGTTAACTTCATAATATCCCTCCACGTCTAATATCGAATGCAGCAATTGAACTACCATACCGAGATTAGATCCCTTCATTTCCGTGGACGACCCCAAATTGGCAAATATGTCCACCTCTATGTTTTCTTCTCTTGGAATATGGATGATCGACCATTCCTTGAACCGGGAAAGCAGTACTTGAACCTTATTCAAGTGTTGTTGCATGCACTATTCCTTGGTGTCGAAAAATACCATATACCTGGTTTCCTACCAACTGAGAATCGCTCTTTATTTTAATTATCTTGGAGCCTAGTCCCTGAGCTAACTCAAGTCCTGCAACCAAAACCTCGCACTTGGACTTATTGTAAGTTAATGGTACAGTTCTAATAGCCTATCTCAAGATTTCTCCCGAAGGAGTGATTAACATTATCCCAAGATCGGACCTTTTTACATTCGAAGCTCCATCTGTAAACAAGTTCCAAACACCTGATACAATTTCTGGCACCAGTACTGTTTTTTTAGTAGTTAAAGGTATCAGTCCGTGACTAAAGTCATCCACGAAATTGGCCAAAACTTATGACTCGGTATATGTCTGAGGTTTATATTCTATATCGAATTCACTAATTTCTACTGCTCATTTAGCCGAACGACCTAACAATTTAGGTTTATGAAGGACGTTCCCCAAGGAAAAAGTCATCACAACGGCTATTGGGTGGAACTAAAAATAAGGCCTAAGCTTTCGAGAGAAGACTATGAGAGCTAAGGATAACTTTTCGAGGTGTGGATAACGTGTCTCCGCTCCCGATAAAATTTTACTAACATAGTAAATGAGAAATTGAGTACCTTCCTCTTCCCGGCTCAGAACTACACTTACTGCAACCTCTGATACTGCTAGATAAATTAACAGTTGATCACCTTCCCTTGGTTTTGACAACAATAGAGGACAAGATAGGTACCTTTTTATATATTTCAATGCTTGCTAACATTCAAGATTCCACACGAAAACATTCTTCTTTTTCAAGAGTGAATAGAAATGATGACATTTCTTTGAGGATCTTGATATAAATCTCCTTCACACTTGTCAATTGATCTGGGATATCCTCGATAGCTTTGATCTTATCAAGGATTACTTCAATTCCTCTTTAAGAGACCAAAAACCCCAGGAACTTTCCGGAACCAACTCTCAAAGAAAATTTTTCAGGAGTGAGGTCCATGTTGTACTTCTCATAATATCCAAAATCTCTTGTAGATGAGCCAAATGATCTCCTGCATTAAGAGGTTTGACTAACATATAATCAATATATACCTCTATTATTTTACCAATTTGTTGTTCAAACATTTTATTAACAAGCCTTATGTAAGTGGCTCCTGTATTCTTATGCCCGAAAGGCATCATATTATAGCAGTATGTGCCACATTTTGGGATAAACGAGTTTTTTTCTTAATTTTTTAAGTGAATTCTAATTTGATTATACCCAGAATACTGATGGTAGGCTATAATATTGTATTTTAGTCACTTATCACACTCTAGTTTACTTCATTTTAATTGAGTTTGAGTTTTAATCGCTAGTATTTTGCACTAATTGTGTGTTCTATGTCTTGCAGGAGTGATTCCGAGTGATGTAGAAGATGTTATGGAGATAATTCGAGTTATTTAGAGCTTTGAAGTCTGAGTAAAAGCCCAATACTTATGGATACGATATTATATTATACTATATTCGACTAACGAGCATATTTAAGTGTGTGTTTCAAGCTCGTCAATTTGGCGTCATTGCTGGGGAATGACAATCAATAATGTTTGAAATAGTTTGTAGTGATAATTCAGGAATTTTTCTTTTTATTTATTTTTCTCTTTTTACGTTTGGTGTTTTTTGACTGTGCGCAGGCTATATGTTAGATTGGTGTATGACTCGATCTTCTAGGAAGGAAGTGCAACCATACGAACCAGACATCGAGAAACAATTGTGATAGTTGAGGAAGGAAAGAAATCTCCCTGAGAATTTAGAGAAGGTTGGGCAATCCTCAACCAAAGAAAATATGGCTGGAGATGATGATAATGTAAGATTTGGCTACGAGAGAGGCAGCCCAACTAAGAGAAAAAGCTGCACGTGATGTTGAGAAAGCAGCTATTAGAGATGCAGAAATTTCATATGAAAAAGAGAGGGCTCAAAGAATGGCACATAATCAGCCTTTGGGTACAGACCAGTTCGGAAACATAGCTACCGGCCAAGGGAGACCACTTGACGATTATGCTAGATCGGTGTACAACCAAGGTTTATCAAGTGTGAGACCTCTTCCAGTTGCAACCAACAATTTTGAGTTGAAGCAAGGGTTGCTTAAAACTCTTCAAAACTGTTGTGTCTTTAGAGGAAAGCCAAGCGAAGATCCAAACAATCATCTTATGGACTTTGAGGAGATTATGAACACCTTTCAATATAATGGTGTGTCACAAGATGTAGTTTTTTAAGGGCATTCCCGTTCACACTCAAAGATAATGCCAAGCACTGGCCTCGAAGCTTGCCCCAGGGATCAATTAGAACATGGGAAGAGATGACCAGAAAATTTCTTGCTAAATATTTCTCCTTAGCTAAGACGTGCAAGTTTAGAACAGAAATCCATAACTTCTACTAGAACGAGACTAAAACTGTGTTTGAAGCTTGGGAAAGGTTTAAGGAGATAGTGCGAAAGTGTCAACATAGCAGGATTGAACTCTGGATGCAACTCCGGGACTTTTGGGATGGTTTGACACTAGCCTCATGCAGAACATTGAGTGTCATGACCCAAAACTGACCCGGTCGTGATGGCGCCTATTGTGAAACTAGACCAGCCGACATAACTCTTGAATCAACCATTTTCCAATAAAAGTTGTTTTTATACCATTTATAAACCAATAATCTTATAATGAAAATTTAAAAGAAAAGTGCGAAAAAATTACACAAGCCCGACATCGGGGTATCACTAGTCAGGAGCATCTACCAAGGTCTGAATACAACAAGAGTCTAAAAAAATGTACTAAAAACAGTAATGAAAATGAGAGGAAGGAAAGCAGTGCTGTGATCGTCGTGCAGCCACCTTGCTAACTCCGACGACTCCGCCTCTGAGCAATCAACACTCGCTACCGGGTTCCGAAATACCTGAATATGCACACGAGGTGCAATGTGAGTACTCAAACCCAGTAAGTAATAAGAGTAAATAAAGACTGAGCAGTAGGAAATGATGAATCCACATTTATGATAAACTCAATAAGAACAACAAGATTTCAAATCAGAATACGAGTCAATCGTCTCATTTAAAATTTAGCTTTTGGTAAAAATCATTTAAAAATGCTTTCCAACAGTTTCAATAGGGGTTCAATACCATATATAATTGAAAGCACGTAATTTTTGACCCGCACAACTTTTAAAAGTAGTATTTTTAAAAATATTTACTTATTTTTATTTTAATAGGATTTAGCTTATTTTTCACTTTTAGTCTAATAGTAGAACATAAAATTTGAAAATACAAAAATATTTTTTAATTTTTTATCTTTGTATTTAAGTTAAGGCCATTAGTCTTTTGTAGTAATATTAATCTAAGTTTGCTATCATTCTAATTAACTTTTCTCTGCTTTCATTTTAATATATAATTTTTGAAAAATGATGGTTTCATATCAATATAAATTTTATGTTAGTTAAAGTCAATTACTAGTATTCTAGTAGTAATTTGCTATTGATTTTTAATCTTTGAGACCAATTTGAAAGCCCAACAAGGCCTAGCCCATTACCCCTTCTTCTTTAACCCTTCCAAAACCCCTTCTTCAAAAACCGAGGTATGGAAAAAACCCTAGTCTCTCCTTCTTCTTTAACATACACAAGAACAAACCTAACACCCTAAGAACCAGCCACACACACAGTCATAGCCCCACCTCTCAACCACCACCCCTAAGAACTAGCAGAACTCCTCTAACAGCTTCCTCCCAAGTTAAAACCAGAAAATCCCAGCCGTTGAAACACCCAACCGGCACCATAGAACTCACACAAAAATGCCAAGATAAATCCAGCAATTAATATAATTTCTATCAAGTGTTTTAGTCAAAGTCTCAATTCTTGGCTTATGTCCAAACTTGCATGAAGTTAAAAGTTCTTTAATAACAATTTTGATTATTTTATTTAGTAATGAAATGGTATTTTTTGTGTGGTATACTGGTGCACAGAAGGTGGGATATAGGTCCTTATAAGTTAGTCTTTGCAATATTAATGGTTTTCAAGGTAAGAATCCTTAAAGGTGTATTGAGGCCGTTGAATTTAAAACTCCGAGATCTGCTCGAGGTCAGAGTCTGAGGTTCCGCTCGAGATACGCGGTCCCGGTGTAAATTTGAAGTGCTATTATCGGATTGCACAATATTGTCTCTTGCAAGGGGATCTTTCATCAATTCAATTTTGATCACCGTTTGGGTTCCACTTGAGGTGAACTCTTTACTTTGTTCTTTAAGCTCTCATGTGTGTGATTTATGATTGCTTGAGTTTCATGCTTTAACTGCTAATTTGTGATTGACGTTCCATATTTTGTTCCAAGTCTATTTGAGTTGAATATTTTATGTAAACATTGTTGAATTCTTATAGCATTTGAATGAAGGGTTCGGGCTTAAACGTAAATGACAATTTGAATTGGAAATGTTTCTTACTTTTATTTATCGTTTATCGCTAGTAGCATGTATTAGGCCACTCACACCTGGGTAGGCAAACTTTAGGATTTTGTTAAGTTTTGAGGCGAGAGGTCGTTCCCTTAGTTAAATTTATCCGGGGAATGCCCCGAAGGATTTGTATATATTTTATTCCGAGGAATGCCCCGTAGTATTCTGTAATTAGAGGCCGAAAGCGAACTTGTAGTACTTTTGCAATTATTTTGTTTTTCTTTTTGCTATTTTCTTTTATTAAGTGGGGACGACCTCAAACCTATTTCGTGTTTATTTTTTTTCTTTATGTGTTTTTACCTCAACTTAAATATTTTAAAAGCCAACTTGATCAAGTAAGCGACCGTACTAGTTACGGGAATTGGGGAGTGCCTAACACCTTCTCCCCGAGTCAAATGAACCCTCTTACCCGAATATCTGGTGTGGACTTGGTTTTAGAGTCTGAAATATTTTAAAAGGAAAGATCATTTTTTTTAAAAAAAACGATGACCTGGCACACCGAAATCAAAGTCAGGTGGCGACTCTGAGTTATTTTCCTTTTGAATACAATTTTTGTCACGTTCTAATTAGAAAACCCTTTTCAAGCTTTACTAAATCTTTTAATATTTTTAAGAGGGTTAGTGAGGTTGGTAAAAAAAGGGGTGTGACATCTCTGGCGACTCTGCTGGGGAGTTGTAAGTTTGAGCTGGTACTTGATCTTGTTGGCTTTTAGGAAATTCGGTTGAGGTGTTTGTTTTCTTTATTTGCTTTGTTTGTCTTATTTTCTTGTTTTGTTGGTTATTTGTTTATCGCTTTTCTTAATGTGTTACTGTTTTATAAACTGTCATCATTTGCATAACCATGGGTCTTCTTTCTGCAACAAGTCTCGGAGTACGCGTCGCGTGCACGAAATCTTTGTTGAGTCACCCTTAATTTAGGAGGGGGAGGGGGCGTCAGACGTATGGAGTGGGTGGAAAGCTTGAGCATCCACCATCGACCATACGCTCTCCCGAATTGCCTTGTTAGTGAACACCAAACTCAGGTCAGCCTTTAGGTCATATTTATTTGCATCATGTCATTTAGACCTAGCAGGGCTCGGTCCCAGGTACCGTGTCCCTTTGTAGGAAGCCTATCCAAATTTTGTCAAAATGGGCTTGTGGCCTAAAAAGACATTCAATCATCCCTATGTGATACATGTTGCATCTTTGAGGGTAAAAAGGTCATTTGACGGACCGATGTTTGGGAAAGTAGGGTGAAAGACGAAGCAAGTAGGGCCTAGTTATATTTTTTTTCACTACTTTTTCAACAAAAAAAAAAAGAAAAGAAAAAAAATGAAAATGAAAAATCCAAAAAGATTTTACACTTTCCCATTATTTTCCAAAAATTTCAAAAAAAAATCCAAAAAGATTTTGCACTTTTCCATCATTTTTCCAAAAAAAAAAAGAGAATACAAAAAAGATTTTACATTTTCCATCATTTTTCGAAAAGACAAAAAAATATTTTTTTTCTCCCATATCCAATCTTCCCGAACTACGCATACCTGATTCTTATCTTTTGGGGTGGGATATGTAGGCAGTCCACATAGGGTCCGATCTTCCTAGTAAGTCTTAGGTTCTTGGCTTCGACGGGTCTTAGCCAAATCTTGCATGTCTAGCCACTTTTGGCCACATCGGCCATTCTTGCAAAATTGGATTATTTTCGCAAAAATGTTTCAATTGCCCATGTCTTAGGATCTTGAGTCCACAAATCGGTGTAATATTACTTTAAGGTCCTTCCTTTTTGAGTTTGCATCTTTAGTCACTTTCGGCTACATAGGCCATTTTTGCAAAATGGGTCATTTCTGCAAATTAATTTTTTTGGCCGTGATTATTGGGAATTTGAATCCATATAAGACTTAGTGAGGCATTTTCCATGTCTATGGGGTCAACTTGTTGAGTCTACACTTCTATCCACTCTTGGCCACATAAGTTAATTTTCACAAATGGCCCAATCGCGTCTTGTATGTGTCCCATAGGAGGTGTTGTGGCATCGTATAGTGTCTTGAGCCGCTAACTCTATTTGATCTTATTTTTCTCATTCAGGTATGGATCAATTTGCTAGAGTTTGAGCATGACAAATATCCTAGGACCATTCTAGTCAAGGCCATTGCATGCACGAGTTGCTTGAGGAAACTTTTTATTTTTTTAGTCTATTTTATGTTGTCTTTTAATTATTAGTCTTGTACAGTAGTATCGAGTTTGTCAGTCTAGTTAAGATTTTTGAGTCTTTTGTTATAGTACTTCCTATTTTGTATTTGAAAAACCAAAAAAGATTATTAAATGAAAATTCCAAAAAGATTTTTTGTTTCTTAGTTTATTTTGTCCATTATTTTTCCAGAACTACGCGTGATTTGATTCATGAGGGGCATGATATGTAGGCAACCTACATAGGGTTCGATCGAATCATCTTTTGAAAACAAAAAAACAAAGAAAAAAAAAAGAAATGAAATTGTGCATGTGAGAAATGAGAGAAACAAAAAAGAGAGCGATAATCAGAAAGAAAAGAGGGGGAAAGAAATGAAAAACCAAGCGGTGTTAGAAAAGAAAATGAAGAAGGAAAAGGGCCAGAAGAGTGAAATTGGGATGATGACATATGACCTTCGTACCCTCGAAGTCATTCTAGAACCATTAATTGTTGCTAGGGGCATTTCACGGAATGTGATATTTCGATTTGATAAATGCTCTAACGCTAATTTCACTCTTCTGGCCCGATCCATGCTCTAATGCTAATGTGATATAGTAACTGTTGCGGTGCGCAACCCGATCCATATATTGTTGCGGCATGCAACCCGATCCATATATCTTGTCGACGGTGCTCACGGAGGGTGTGCAAACTTTGAAGGGGATCCTACAGCCCAAGCGCTATATCGGTGCGACGTACAGCCCGATCCAACATATCACTGCGGCGTGTAGCCCGATCCATATACATATATATGTATACAGCCCATCGGGCAAGCCTCTCAGTCACTCGAGAGTCAACTCTCATCAATCAGCAGTCACACTCAATAAGTACCATATAGTAACCGTTGCGGCACGCAGCCCGATCCATATAACGCTGCGACGTGCAGCCNTATATATATATTGCTGCGGCGTGCAGCCCGATCCATAAATATATAATCCTCACAACTAGGCCCTAGGCCTCTCTCAGTCATTAACCTCACTATCTGATTCTCGGTCTATCTCAGTAAGTACCCTCACAATCAGACCCTCGGTCTATCTCAGTCATCAACCTCACAATCACTCAGACCATTAGTAAAATAGGGAACTCAGCCCAAACAGTTTTCACATTTTCAGAAGTAAAGTGATAAAACTAGATTTAATCAATAAACAGGTAAAACATAACTGAGAATATGCTTACAAAACAAATAGAGTGAGGAAAAATAGTGAAAATGCCCCTAAGGATCTCAACAGGTCAGTACAAGGCCCCAAATATGGCATATAGCCCAAAATATAATATTAATCTATAAAATATGGAATATCATAAGATTTCAAATAAATTACGCGACTTAACAGCCGTACAGGACGGACCAAGTCACAATCTCCAGCGGTGCATGACTCCACGCTCGTCATTTAGCTTGTGTGTCACCTCAAGGTAGCACAACCATGTGAACTTCGGGGTTTAAAATCCTCATGACAGCATTAACAATCATTACTTACCTCAATCCGGTCCAAACTCTAGCCCGTGATGCCTTCGCCCTCACGAATCGACCTCCGAATGCTCCAAATCTAGCCATGATCAGTACAAAACTACTAAAATATGCTAAGGAAACAAAGCCCACTCGAAAATATCCAATTTACATCAAAATCCTGAAATTGTTCAAACCGGCCCCCGGCCCCACCTCTCGAAATCTGGTAAAAGTTACATCAATAGAGTCCTCGTCCTCTCACGAGTCTATACATACCAAGAACATCAAAATCGGACCTCAATTGCCCCTTCAAATTCTCAATTTACACTCTCCAAAGTCAAGCCCTAATTTCCTAATTTTAGGCTTTAATTTCCACATATTTCATGCTTAAACAAATAAGAATCAACATAGGATCGAGTATTGAGTTCAAAAATCTTACCTCCAAGTGTTTCCCTTCGATTCCCTCTTCAATCTTTCTCAAAAGCTACAAAATCTCTCAATAATGAAGAAAATAAACCAAAAATCATGAACTCATTTTTTAAACATTCTGCCCCAGACCTGAAATCCTTCATCGCGATTGCGGGACTTCCTTCGTGATCGCAAGCACAATCTACCAGGCCCTCAAATTTAATCTACGCGAACGCAGTGAGGTCCACATGAACGCGATGCTCAAAACTTTAAACCTACACGAACGCGGATAGATCCACGTGAACGCGATGCACCACTTGCCCAACTCTCGCGATCGCGACTCACGCTATGCGATCGCGAAGAACAACCTGACCTGTCCTCATCACAGCCCTACGCGATGCGAGACTCCCTACGTGATCGCGAAGGAATAGTCTGCAATAGCAGAAACTCAAAACCTGCAACTCCAAACAACATGGAATGGTCCGATTGACCACCTGAAACTCACCCGAGGCCCTCGGGACCTCAATCAAACATGACAACATATCCCATAACATCATTCAAACTTGTTCCAACCTTCGGAACGCTCAAAACAACATCAAAACACCAAAATTACATCGGATTCAAGCCTATGAATTTCAAGAATTTCCAAATTTCGCTTTTGATCAGAAACCCAACCAAACCACGTCCGAATGACCTAAAATTTTGCAAACACGTCACAAATGACACAACGGAGCTACTATAACTTCCGGAATTCCATTTCGACCCCTATATCAAAGTCTTACCTTTCAACTGCAAAATGCCAAAATCTCAATTTTGCCAATTCAAGCCTAAACCTTCCACGGACTTCCAAAATGCATTCCGATCACGCTCCTAAGTCCCAAATTACCTAACGGAGCTAACCAAATCTTAAAAATTCCAATCCTAGATCATATACCAATAAGTCAATCTTGGTCAAACGTTTCAAATTTCAAGCTGCAAACTGAGAACGGTTCTTCCAAATACATTCTGATTACCCTGAAAACCAAAACTAATGATCTACATAAGTCATAATCCATCACACGGGTCTAGTCATGACCGAGAATTGACGAGAAAGGTGCAAAAGCTCAAAAAGACCGGTCGAGTCATTACATCATCCCCCACTTAAATATACGTTCGTCCTCGAACGTGCCCAGAGTTGTTCCAAAAGCCAACCACTCGCTGAATAACCTTACCATGTACATACCCGGGGGTGATCCCATGTCACCCTATCTCGTATAGGTCCGACAACACAATGTAACTGAAATTTCGCAGTCCAACCTAGCCCATGAACCTTAGAACCACATTTCCACTTCTGAAATCATCCACAAGATCAGAATCTCACATTTATACTCTGACTAAGCCCGAACAAGCTGTAATAACCCATACCCGCAACCTCAGTGTGATTACATGTTATACCACATAACTCAAACGCTTGCAGCAATGACTTTTAATCACAGCAGTTGCACACGACAACCGAATATCAATAGGAAACCTCTTATCAACTAAAGTCTCATTCCAAAACTTTCATTTACTGCCAACGATAAATGAAACACGCAGTAATCCATAACCGTTTTTCTCATATCAACCATTTATGAAGCCACTTCTCCTTTGTCAAAGACTATAGCAAATTTCTGAGCTGGACCTCGATATTATCCTTTCAACATGCGGAAATCAAATATGATTGTACTCATTCTATATCCCGACGATCTCATCTAATCCAACGCAACTATTATGGTGACATTGACAAATCAATACAGACTAAAGCCACGACTTGTGTTATCTGTGCACCAATAAGCCACAATCCGAACTTACTCAAATCATGAAAATGACTCAAATGAAAGAGCTGTACCGTAAGCTCACTAATACGACCACAACACAAGGATGAGAACTCGCCACATATTGTAGAAATAGAACATACGAATCTAACCCGTAGGATCATACTTCCACATAGCTTCGCTCCAATGTGTGATCTCATCCAAACACTGGTCCGCATGAGACACCTTAAGTTACTATACTCAAAATCGACAATCATGTGCAATATGATGTCTAAAACCAAAGCAATCATCATAACCACCGCGAGGCAATTACATAACACCACACAACTCGAAAGGACATAACCGATACGCCATCCACCGAACAATACCTAGTGCTCTTCTCGCTCGAATTCCACTATGAAACCCCAATGGAACCGCATCATCTGTGCCTATAACCAACAAATCATAACGTCTCGCAACACAGAAAAGTAATCCATAGATCACCTCAAAACATTAATATCTCAATAACAACCGAATCAACACATCCTTCACCAATAGCAACTCGAAGTCAACAAAGTCGTCTCGATGCAGAATGCACATCCATATAGGTCTACCACTGATCCACACATCAACTCTAGTCACCCACAATAGATAAATAACCCTCCAAAGGTTCACAATGACTGAATCATAGCACATACTATTATCTGACTAACTTACCCACATCTTTACCGTCCACAACCACAAACTAACTTGTTTATGAGAACTTTCGATCTCCAAGTCCATAAAGCACACTAATTACCATATCTAATCCCAATTTCACCGCTCGAATATACAATACACCTCTAATACTCAATCATCTCATGAGGGATACACCCATAATTCTTCTGTGCCACCAAAGAAACTCGAATATCATCAGTCGATCAGACAAGATAGTGCCGCAATACCAATAAAGCATCCATAACTCAAATACATCGCCCCTTCTAAAATGTATACCCTCATCAAGCCACACTAATCAGTGATCTCATTTATCTAGTCACCTGCAGCTGCCTATGCTATTTAAGAATTTATGACCTTTCTTTCAAAACTGAACCATGAACTTACACATGCAAACCTCAACCCATATAACATACCTCATATACTATAGCACCCAAATGATAATTATGAGAACTTTGCAAACCACTCCGAGCTACAAGAAACTACTTACAAAACTAGCCAAGAATTTCCCATTGATCCCATCTAGAAGAAAATCACTATACATCACATGCTCCTCGTGCTAATAGGAAAAATATACCTCTCTAACTGTGGTGGAAACCATTTAAAGCTCTCTGAATTCCATTTGCACAACACTAAATCGTCAGGACTGAATCCTTCTAACTCAACCGAGCTACGCATGTCACTAAACCTAAGAGAATTGTCGCGAAACACCTGTAGAAACCCAATACCTCATAAGTACCCAGAGAACTCATCATATCTTTTCCCCTACCGAGCCGGCCTACTACCA